TTTACATTTTGCAAGATCAATTAGAAATGTATGGGTTTGTTTTCATATTATTTCTAGGAATAAATGCCAGAGTAGACTGGAAGTTGAATATTCATCATACTGCCAAAACCTAAACCAAATTATTGAATTTCATTTTCCATTTTAAATTGAATTTAAAAGAAAAATACCTTTATAAGTTACCTTATATCATAGTCATTGTAGCATTTCTGTAAAGGAGAATATCATCATATTTTTAGTCACATGTAGTTTCAATTTAGTCTACTTAAATTTTTAATATTCAACTTTAAAGAGGTCTGTTTTCACATAGTATTCTTGATGCATCTATTCACATACGAGGCTTTCCCCCCTCCTCCATTACACCATTTCTTTTTCTTTTTATGATTGAACTTTCCTCTTTTTGGCCAGTAGCCATAGGCAGTCAATGTGATGTCTCCCAAGAGCTCACACCACAGGGCATCAGTTATTCAAGGCCAAGGTTTTATGTATAGCCATGAGCTTTACTTAAAGCTCCTTTCATAATCCTTCCTTAATAATGATGGCTGATGAGTACCTTTTTTCTGAGGACTTTCTGTGAAGATGATGTTTATACAGCCAAGACAGCAGATTGCTAATAAATCAAAGAATCCAAGTTTTTCTCTTGGGGTGGACTAAAAGTACCATCTCTGGAGCACAAATGTTGCTCTCAGCTTTTGCTCTGTCAGTTGCAATGCAAGCATTCGTTAGTATTTGAGGTGCCTCACCTTTGTTCCTATGTTAATGCTGTGATGACTACCAATTCGCTGTTTATGAGCTGCTGCTGCCACCTATTTTTATGATACTGAAGAAAGTATGTATCAGATTATATCCTTTGTTAATACCTGCTCATGGTATTAAGCTTTCATTTTTTTCAGATTAATGACAAAAATGAATCGTTAAACCAAGCTAAGGAAAGATATACACACTGAGAAATTCAGCCTTTTCCTAAAACACTGCTACACATCTTCTGGGAGAGCTGAAATCTCCTGTCTTAGTAAAATGCCAGATTTTGATGAGAACTGATTATTTTAATCACTAAAAAATGAGGAAAATAATGTAGTGGTCCAAGGACACAAGTATGCTTCCTAGATTACTTAAGTTTCTTGAGAAACTTTTATAGCTATGTTAATTTACAAGGGTATTTCTCTTCATATCCCACAAGAGTTGCTCAAGAGCGAAAACTTGAGTAAAACCATAACCACAACATATTGGGCTGGCTATACAAGCATAGCTAGGTGCGAGAACCTTTCATCTTTGCAGCAAGAAGTACCTCAAGATGAGCAGGTGTGCTGATGATGCAGCCTCTGACCTGATTTTCCTTCAGCCCATCTACAACTTCTTTGATCTTTTTGCCACTAGGAAGCTCTTTTTAATCATGTCATTTGTAGCAGTCACGTAGGAGATTATTTTCTGCTTCATATGGCTTCACAAACATTATCTCATGGAACTGGCCGTCTGTTGCAGCAGGAGTGGTGTTGTGCAGATCTTCTCTGGGGTCTGTGTGAACTCAGGAATAATTCATCACAAGAAACAAATGGGAGTGGTCCATCTGTCCTACTGGAAAAGAAGGTGTTGCATTTTCTCCCAAGCTATGCAAAGCCATCACCCTTCATGGCTTTGAGTTTCTGTGCTGTATAGTTAAGTACTAAAGTGTTGCATGTCTTCTGTTTCTTATGGCTCTTACTCAGCTGTGGAAAGAAATATCAAGTAATGTAACCACTTTCTTCCAAATCTTGGGCCAGAATCTCAGCTGGTGTAAGTCAGCAGAGCTCCACTGACATTATTAGCGCTCTGGTGATTCACACCAGCTGTGGATCTGGTCTTCTGTCTCAATTTATGAAGGGCTTGAACTAAATGTCAGGAAATATGAAATGATCTCTTATAGTCAGCAGTTCTCCAGATGTGTTAATGGAGTTTAAGTTTACCAAAAGGCAAGACTTCAAAAAGTGATCCAACAGAAGAATAAACTTTCACAAAGAATGCCTTACTTATAGGCTTTTTGGCAGGAGAGGACTGTACAACTCACTGCAATTTAAAGAAATTAACTCAGTTATGCATCAGGATATGGTAATACAGCTTCAGTGAGAATCCAAGATTCTAAATAATTTCACAGCACAAAGCAAGCTGTTGGCATTCAGTGCATAATTGCCATTCAAATAGGAATCATCAAGTCTTAAAACCAAGATTAAGTTCCTTATGAACTTCATGTAAAGAGCCTAATGCTTCCACTTTGCAAGTGTAGTTGGGTTTATTCACAGGCGCAGTATTACAGCTTATGGAGATTAAATGAGGACCATGTTGTTACAAGAACACAGAAGCTTAGTAGTTCTAGCTGTGTAATGTTAAAACTCAACAGTGATTTGGCTTATAGATGTGATCTCATGTATAGTGTTGAAAACAGTTATTTTAGCCAATGAGGATAAAATTGTTGTTGACATTGCTTAAGCACTGTCAGGCTTACTTTTCAAAATCAAAAAATGCTGGAATAGGTGAAACCTCAAAGTCAACAAATGTGGGGTCTCAGAAGTCTTTTGGCCTTATATGCCTAGTCTTATAGGCATATATGGCATATGAACATATGCTCTAAAAAAAAATTCCAGTACCTGAAATAGCCTGTGGTGGTACAGAGGTCTTCACAGCCTAATTTATTTGCTGATGAGACCTTTCAGAATTAATTAAAATCATCAGTGTGTGGCTCCAGACTGTGTGATTTACATAGGTTCTCACTGGAGACTTAATGCTTTAGATAGATCTAGACAGGTAAAAGAACAACACACCTTCAGTAAGTAAACTTGAGCATCACACTGTGTTGGGGCATGCTATATATATTTAAAAAAAATTAGAGTACAAATAAGTTGACTGCTAGCAATCAGAACAGCATGGAGTGATCTGATCCTGGTGACCAGAGGTCATTGGCTAAGGGTCCGATTCTGGCAGGTTTGTTTCACAGTTAGTCCAGGTGACTTTTGATGAGACACACATCTGTCTAGATGTCACTACATACAAAAAGGAAAAAAAAATGCGTGGACACAATTTATTCAGACCTGAAAGAAAGCATTTTGGAAGAGTTCACAGAGAAAGCTAGTTAGACTTCCAGAGAAAGTAATTATCATAATCTGAATATACCCATACATTAAATTTAAAGTAGTTTGCAGAAGTGGAGTGATGGATAGAGTGGTGAGGAAATCCTTCTGAATACTGGAGAGCTCTTAGGAAGTGACGACATCCAAGACTCAGCATTCACCGGGCTTTTGATGATTCCCTGGGAGCACAGGAGGCTCTGCCTTGAAATGAAAATCATTCCCCAGGTCCACAGCAGGAAACATCATAGTGAGAGCTCTGAACCTCCAAGGGCTTGACAAACTTGAAGTGTGAAAGGCTATGAATCACGCAGTGGCTGGGGTCTTAGGAAGCTCATTGCATTTTGAAGATGGCTGTGTTTTGTAAAAACTTCTGCTCCTTAGAGATTTCTAGGTAGGAGTTCTGAACAACTTGGTTCTGAATCTGTTTGAAACCAAATTTAAAAAGAAAAAAAATTGCTGAATTTCACAAACTATATTGGCTCTACAACATGGAGCAGTTGAAGGCAAATGCTTGAATTAGTCTGAAAATTAAGATTGCTTTTGCATGCCTCATTTCACTAAGCCCTCATATGGCAGCATTTGAGAGTAACACTTTCCATCACTTCTGTCTAGTTCTTCCCATCGTGGTGGCTTATGTGTTGGCCTTGGTAATACATGAATTTTTCACCTTCTGTCAGGATTACACCAGTGGAATATACCTGGGCATGAAGCCATCAACCCTTATGAAACTCTAACCAGTCCAAAATCCTACAGTACAAGTATATCGAGTCTGCTCTCTGCTTTCTACACCGATTCTCTACAGCATACTGAGCCAAGCTTAAGAGATTACGTCTTATTTTCAAAGCAGCTAATGATACTGACCTGGAATATCTTGTCACCAAAAACACCTATATCTGTGATCGATAATTCTTCTCTGAAAGCTCGAAAAAGCAAAGTTGTCTGTGCAGGATTCAAAGATTTTTCATGGATTCAGCCTATACATATAAGATTAATTCCTACAGGGATCAGAAGCTGTTGCAAATGTCACTGTTTTTGGAAACACAAGATAACTTGCCTTCCCAGGCATAAGCACAGAGCTGTCTGTACCAGAATGGTGTCTCGGAGAGAGAGGAGAAACAGTGAACATGGGTTCTTGGCAAACACCGGGATCTCGTATAGTGAAAAGATATTTAAATGATCTGCATTGATGAGGACAGTCAAAGGAATGCTAAATAGGACTGATTGATGCAGAGTAGCATGTTATTCAATGTAATGGATGTCGCATTCAGGCATGAAGTTTTCAGATAGGACTCTGTGATGTCCAGCTATCTGAGGGCAAACCTGCACGTCCGCATACACGTATCAGTGAATGGCGAGTGTTTCTATTTGCATACATTTATAGCAAATGTAAACATAACATACGTAGAGGGGAATGACAGGTATTTGAAAGTCCCCGGATACCTGGATTCATGTGTTATGGAAGGATTTTCTTCATTTGCCTTTGTTTTCTTCTGCTCTACTGTTTGGAGAGAAGCTTGCACCTTCAGGGCATGGACCTTTGAGACAACTCAATCTGATTCTTCATATGCCTTCATGTCAAACTGATGGACAACAGACACATGCTTAGCACCAGGGAAAAAATACAGAGCAGAAATGTGGAAATTGTGGATGAAATGGTCATTCTCGGGGTCCTAAAAACTGTAACAAAATAGCTGAAGCCTTGACATTTATAAGCTGAATTTCCTGTGTTTGTTTTGCCATTGCCATCTCAGCAAGTAATTAGGTCTTACAAAAAGCACTTTTCTCTTAAATGTAACCTTAACAAAAAGTTCAAAATGCACTATTAAATGGTTACCTTGTATATGTTGGAATTGTTTATATCTGTACCTAAATTTGCTTCAAATCTCTGCTTTATATTTCCAGACCTGGTCTGGCCTCACAGAAGACATCAGTCAGGCACTCCCTGGATGTGATGTCTCTCGAAACACTGGAAAACACTTGTGAGCCAGAAGACCTCTTTGATGACATCTAGCTATGTGTTGGCTGAGAAACTGAGAGACTGCCGCTTCTAATAGAGATAAGCTATAAAACTAAAAGGCTTTGTTATAGACACTGAGCTGAAATCTTTACTCTGAGGTGATGTTCAGTGACATATTGCTCTAATCCTCTTGCACTGCACTTGTCCCCATTCTTCAGTACATGGTTGTAGACCCTTGGCCTGCTAGGCTTGACTTGTGACGGGCTTGAAATCACTTTAGCCTCTGTGTAGATCATTTATCATGTGTATATGGGGAAGGAGAGCACCATCATAGCATTTTTACATCCTAACAGCAGCAGTCTCTGGCTGCTGATTGTATCCAGGATCAACTGGTTTCCAGATGTCCCCAGAGAATAAGTCAGACATAAAGATTAAGGCTACTTCCCTTACATGCTGCCCCTTTCTTGAGGAGGGCAGCTTAGACATGGTCTAGCTAAATCATCTTCAACTTGGACTGAGATATAGCTTCCCGTGAGTTTAGAATATCTTCCGACGTGAAGCATCCAAAGAAATGTCCTTTCACTTTTCACTTGAAGGTTCTCTGCAACATTATGCTTTATACGGTATTCTTGCTTTTGGGAGTAAGTGCTTGTAAAGTCAATAGTGACTCTATTTTAACCTTCTGCAGAAACCCATAGCCTTTAAAATTGTTATTTTTGATACTTCATCATTTTTCTTAAGGTGATTTCTAAAAAAATAAAATGCATTCTAAAAATACATCAATTTTGGTTTTATTTGCTTAGCCACTCTATGAGTAAAGGGGCTAGTTAGTAAAGTGTGTTAGTGCATGACTTTTTCCTGCCCAAAGCTGATGCATTCATTTAGATTTAAGGCTTCACCAAAGAAAAAGTTAGCAACATGTATTTACCTTCAGCAGTCAAAAGCAAGTGTACAGAACTAAGCATGCATATCAGGTTTCTACTTTGCAATTTTAAGAGCCTGAATCAATTCTCATTTAAGGCAGATGCAGCCAGTTCTTCTGTCTCAGAAAGGATGTGATCTAACAAGAGTTTTAAACATGTGAGTAATCCCACTGAAATCCGCAGGACTATGCAACATAGTCCTGCTTCTGTTGCTCTATGGATTGCAATGGTCCTTGGAAGCTACTTGGTATTTTTGAAATGGTGGCTTATTTAGGCCCTGATTCTGCCAGAATTCAATCCTATATTTAACTAAAAGCATCCGTGTCAGTATTTGCAGGATCAGGGCCTCATTTAAGAACTTACATGAGGATCTGGGAATATTATATTTAAGCATTCCTTTCTGAAAAACATGGTCACAGCATTTTAAATTCACAAAGGGCTTTGGGACGATGTTATAAATCACACAGTAAAAACATGAATGGCCAAAATATTTTGCTTGCTACAAAGGCTTTGGGCCTGAGAAGTGACAGGACCACAAAAGACCTATTCATACACCCATTCACAGACATTGCCTGATTTAAAATCTTCCAGTGCTGATCTGACAATGCTTTCAGGAAAAGCTTGTATATAGTTTCAGTTTTAATGTGAAAATGTTCCATGACTTAACACGAAATACAAGAGCTTGGTTTAATTGTGCCTGCAGCAGAAAATGAAGGTAAATGGAGCTGAACATCCCGCGAAACTCTGCTTTCAAGAAACTGTTGGTTTCTAATAGTAAAATGTTATTATATAAATAGGAAATGTTACACACAGTTGGCAGATGTAATAAAGTCTGTCAGAATGTTTATTCTTTTCTCTTTTTTTGCGATTTGTAGAATCAAGCCAGCAATAGAGCAGAAAATTACATGATGAGGGATACATACCTTGGACTGTGTGAGCACAGGTGTGTCATCTAGTTAGGGTAGCCATGGTACGGAGTGAGTTTCCAGTCAGCTGAGACTGTTTCCATACACAGGGACACCTCTTCTCCCCTTGAAGCCTACCTAAAATATGTCAGTCTCCACAACCATGTGAGAAATGTTAGCCAAATGCTCCTTTCTGAAGATTTATGTGAGAAACTATTGCTTTTCTGCTAATAAGGTTCCATTTTCCAGTTGACTTTGAAGAGGAGAGACCCACCAAAATGAGCACAAATTATTTGTGAGAGCAGAGGTAGTATTGCAAAAGCTGCACAAAATCAGTGAAACTTCTTTATGATGCATATTTGTCCACAAGAAGTGGGGACACCTACTTTATTCTCAAACTTATTCATCCCAATGCATTGAAGTAGACCCAATGGCCTTCATTGACCAAGCCAAGAAAAATCTGTTTCAGACTAACTTGTGATGTTTGGGAAGGGAACTCAGTAATAACCCTTCATAACATATTTTTTAAAAACCTACTAAATTAATATAGTACTCAGTGCTGCTTGATTAAGTCTCTGAGAAAAGCTGGGGTCTTTGCTGTCCCTCCATGCCAATGGAGTTCCTGCTGCAGGGGCTTTCCAAAGCTTACAGAGCAGAAGGGTTCCCTTGGGACTCAATAGACAGTGCTCCTATTCATATATTGAATATAATGTTCACCTATTTCACAATAACATCCCCTAGTTTATGTTCATGTTGTGATCCACCATAATCTTTGGATTCTTCCATGCAGAGTTACTGGGTAGTCTCTCGTTTTTCCATTCAGTGTTTGTGCAGCTGACTATTCCCATATGGATTTAGTAACTCGCGTTTAACCGTATTGACATGCACCCCATTTCTGTAGCTGATTTCTATAGTTTGTCAGGATGATTTTGAATGCTTATTCTTCCTTAATTTAATATTATGGCTGAATGTAATAAGTTCATTCTCCATTGCTAACATCCCCACCATTAATGAAAACATTGAAAACAGCTCTGGACTTAAGCCTCACTCCATTCATCCTTCTATTTAGTAGAGCTACTAAACTTAGACTTACTTTGTGAGCATGGTTTTCTAACTCACCTATTGGAAGACCCTGTTTTCCAGGCGTGCCTATAAAACTGTCACATGAAATAGCCTGACATGAGATGTCAGTCAATTGCTTCTCCCCTGTCCAAAATATTTTAGTGGTGACAGAAGACAAAATAGAGAAACATGCCCACAAATGGTTTTTCAAGACAGGAAATTAACCAAACTTAGGAAATGCAGATCAGATTTCAAAGGCCATCCTTAATTAATACCTCTCTTTGATATTACTCTGCAAATGATTTCCCAGGTAAATTTTTTCTTCAGTTTAAACTGTGCTTTTGGGGAAGATAAAACATGTAGTTATTTTACAGGAGGAAAACCATGCTATCTCTCATTAAAGATTTAGACTCGTCTAGAGTTTTATACTTCTAATGTAACTACTTAAACAGAATGTATGTTTTTATGCATAACAGTTTGTCATTTGAGGTCTGGGTTTATCCAGCAAATCTTTTAGTTCAAGAAGATTTACAATATTTTTTTCAAGAGAGAAAAAAATTGTTCTGAACCAAAAAAAAAACCCACTTGAGGAAGTGCTGTATAAAGTATTGCCTTTGGGATGAAAATATTATTTTGATTTCGAGATAATGTTTTGGCAATCTATATTGCTATTTTAACTACTTTCTCACTATTATTCCCAAAAGTAGACACTCGTGTGTATATACATTTGTATTAGATATATTGTTCTTCCTTGCTTTGTACCTGTAAAATATAAATGATTGTGTGTATAAACATGATTCCCTGGAAATGTTTAGTATAGTCTAGCAGGCTTTGACAGCTTCTGCAGCCTGGAGGTACTTGAGGAAAGAAAAAGCCTTTACACATGGGAATTGAGATGCTGCTAAATGTTTAAAGTAAAGCTGCTTTTGTCTGGCTTGACATCTGCTTTGTGGGAAAAATAAAATGTGGAAGCAGTGGAGTAAGAATGGTAGGAAAACAAGGCAATAAAAGCATGTCCAGACTGCTTAGAGACTGAAGGTAATATATTTGACCATCTTCTGAGCAATACTAATTTAGAAAAATGTGCCAGGAGCTGGTTAACCTACTGAAAAAGGAGCAGCTAGGAGAGGGTTTCTGTCTTCTGGAAACCCTCTTCTATTCCTTCTTGTCTCCAGTAATGCATCAATCTTCTCATCAGGGGTTAGTACCACTTTTCTGCTAAATATTTTCCTGCTCTAATTTTATTCTAATTCACTTCACAAAGTCTGAGGTCTCATCAAATCTTTTTCCTAAATTTTCTTTTGGCAATCTGTCATCCTTCATCTCATTTCTTTTCCATATAATGTTGGTCAACATCTGAATTTTCATCTTTCTCTGGCCATTAAATGATTTCCCTGCTATTATAATTACAATCCATAATCCACTTCATTCATAAAATATATCAGTATTAATCTGCTAGTGTTAGGAAAATGAAACACTGTATATTTTTAAAACTGACACTACTAAAAAGGAAAATACCAGGCTGAAGGAAGATTACTTCTGGAGGTCCTTAGGGTTGAGTCTTGGAAGCAATCTCATTCAGCATTTTCATCAGTGGCATTGGCACAAAAAGTAGGAATTCCAATGAAACCTGTTGATGATGTGTATCTGGGAAGCTTTATAAGGAATAGCTATTTCTTTTTTGAAGTAAAACCAGCTGCCACCTTTAAACAATGCATGAGTAAGGCATGCGGGATTAGAAGTTTCTGATGGGTGTTGTGTTGTGGAGATTTGTATGCCTGTACAGAGAAGAAAAAAGGACAGGGCGGGAGGGGAAACAGTAAAGTAGTGAAAAAAACAGGCCATGGCTGGGAAAAACTCTGGGAGTCCAGCCTGAGAAAGAGAGGGATATTATGTGAGAGATGGCAAGAAAGAAAGAAAGAGAAAGTGAGAGCACTTTGGGCCTAAATATTGACTGGAAAAGGGGGTGAGGACTGAGCAGACACTGGACCCTGTTTAATTCATTCTGTGTGGGAAACAGGATTGCAGTAGATGCCTGGCACTGTCTGATCTTGAATTGCCTGCTAAACCACTGGTCAGAGGAGGTAACAATAACCAGAAATTGCTTTTTTTGCCAGAATTCTCAGGTCTTGTCAAACAGCTATAGCAGCCTTAGTATCATCTG